TGTGTGTGAGAGAGAGAGAGAGAGAGAGAGAGAGAGAGATAATGTCATTACTGATAACCCGGAAGGAATGAAAGATTTAGATTATCTTTTGAATAATTGAATAAAGATCATTTTTTGGTATAATTTGATGATCACATATTTTATTATGTTCTAATTCTTTGAATATTGGTAGTCCATGGATAGACCATGCTGAACTCTATTAATGGTGTCATTATTTGTAATCCCTTGATTCAGGAACAGTTGTGATCAAAGTTTCCTTTAAACGAGTCAAGGAGGATGCAGAGTGCCTGAGTGGAAAAGTAAGTGGACACTGGAAATCATCACAGCCTTCTCAGATACAGTTTCCAGGAGCTAGACCAGGCTTGGACCCTCATGATAGGCAGACCACTTTCCTTTGATACATTGAAGGAAGCACCAAGGAAGTGAGAGAACAGGACTCTCTCTTTGGGTAGCCAAGGAGGAGGAAGGTAGCTGATCACACACAAGAAGAAAAGCACACTGTGGTCCAATCCAGGCAACTCTTCTGATGTCACCTCTGTAATAAATTCACTTTGCCAAAAGAGTGGCAAACATCTCCCATCCTGAGCATTTTAGATAAATGGGCATTGCTGCTCAATTGAAATTATGGCTACAGTGAATATGGTTTCATATGCAATATCATCCACAGAGGTAGGGCAACATGGTAGGGCTAATGACCTTCTCTTTTGAGGAGTCTGAGTCAGCTACTAATCTGACATGCTGCAGAGACTTGGAGAAGGGTTCATATGGACATTTTGAATGCACATGAGATGGTCACTATTTTAAGAGACCCTGCACTCTTAGATTCTTAATAACAAGTTATTCCAAATGAAAGAGGATACTTCATTGACATAACAGTCATAATCCAATCTTTAGCTATCATAACATTTTTGATGAGCTGTTATATTTCAGCTATTACCTTTTAATTTATAATTTTTAAATTTTTTAAAACTTTTGGTTTAGTTTATTCATTCATCCTCTTAACTTCAACATACTTACTACAGATAACTTACAGATAAAGATTTAAGTAGGGGATAGAACTAAAAAAACACATATTTTTGAATGTTTATTATGTGACAGGTATTGAGTCTTAGCTCAGTACTAATTTCATAGTTTTCCAAATATTACACTCTTCCACATGAGACAATTGAAGCAATCTTCTATGGAAGATTCTGTGTGTATGTGTACAGTGTGCTTTTCCCCCCTCTCTTATATATGTGTGTATATAGATACTTCTTCTGAATTTGTTTTGAATAGTGTTTCTTTCTATCAACACCATGTATTGTTCAAAATGCTACATGCAAAATAACTTCAGTCAACTTTTACAAGTATTCAAAGCTATTCATGTTTTAACCAGTTAACTAACTAGCAATCTTGTATTCTTTTTGCCTTTTATCTCAGTAAATACATTTTTATTGACCAAAATTTTCAAAGACAAAAATATCACTTTGGCTTATCATTTCTAATTCTTTTACTCATCCATCAAGTTGATGACATTCAAACTTTCACTTTACCTTTAATCATCCATTCAATAAATCTTTATTTAATTTATGTTTATCACATATTTGCCATGATCACATTTTTCTGAGGTTATTTCTATAGTCAATCACTATACTCTACATGCCCAATGAAGTTAAGTTTTCCTTCAATTGACAGCAATATTTTAAAATTATATAATACATGACATGAGCTTTCCAGTTAAACACAGACATCCAGAAATAGGCTCAGTCCCCTTCCAGGAAGGAAGTAGGTGCTAAATACCAGTAGTTATAATGTCATAGATCCAGAAACTGGCAGGACAGCAGAAAAGAAATTGTTCCCTTACAGACCTTGTCAAGATCCCCTGGCAGATCAAGGTTGTCTGCTTCACTCCCTAATTCTTCATCCCACAGATCTTTAGCAAATTATGTTTTGCAAAACAATTCCAAATGTATAAATCTGTGAATGTTTTTTTATATCTCTTGTCTGCTTATTGGGGTGTACCATGCTTAACAAGAGGCTAGGGTCTGTTATACATGTTTACTGCCAACTCCTGGGCTTTTATGGGTGCTGAGTTAAAAGCAAGAATTCCATTATGTCCATGTACTATTTGAATTCATCTGAATGAAGGAAGCCAGCTTTACACTTTGAGAAAAAGTGAAGACCACTATAAAAAGTTAAAGATTCAATAACTAGCTAATCTCAAAAGTCCATTTATAGCACAGATAAATATGAGAAAATACCAGTTGTGAACTTTTATATACCACTTATAGATGATCCATCAGATCAGCACACAAAATACTGGATACTTCATTTAGTTTAATTTGCACTGAAGATGCATACATGGGATGAAAATGCTTAGACTTGTGCCTAAGCAGGCAGGACTTTGGCTTGAGGGCTCCCACCTACCATTCTCTAGGTTAGTAACTTTAGAAAAAGTACTTGTAACTCTCTGAGTCAGAGCCCTCAGATGTAAATTAGAAGCAATAGCAACTATATCTCAGGATTGATTGGAGGTGGGGTAAGCAACTACAGCAGTATAAGAGTTAGGAACAAGATATGTCTAAACTAATATTAGTTCCCCTTTCTTTCTCCATGCACTAACGTGCAGTAAATGTGCTTTTGTCTTTGAAAAATGAAACTTCTCCCCTCCCCCCATCTGTACACATTTTTTTAAGTGGTCACAAACTTAAGACATTAAGAAATGACTGCAAAAAAAAGATATATCTATGTAATATGAGAGTTTTGGGAGAGAAAAATTCCTCTCCAAATTAATGTTAAACCTCATGCAAACTATATCAACAAATGCAGATGCCAATTTTCCCTTGCGACCTTCTTTCACATGGTATATTCTAAGTAAAACTATATAGCTTTCTTTAAAAAGTCCTTAGGCTAAAAGGCAGGATATGGGATCAATGCCAACTACTATTCCTGACCTGCCCCTTAGCCTGTTCTTTAACATAGTTGATAGGTCAAAGATGGAAATAAAATCTTAAGTTTTGACTTAGTTGGATCCTGTTCTTGCCTAATATACGGAGAGACTTTAAAACATGCTTTACAACGAGGGAGGAAGAGATAGTTAAGAAACATTCCTCAACAGAGTTTGTCTTAGTACTTTTGTCATCAGAAAAAATAAATAAATAAATAAATAAATAAAAGGAGAAAAATATTGACAGAAAGAAGGAAACCACTTCTATATTAAGAAAGAAGGGTGGTATGCAGTTAAAACTGGAAATTAGAAGAAATAGGCATCTCCACTTTGGCCAGGATTTGCCCTACAGTGGGGTCTATAAGGGAAAGAGGTCACAAACTCCTAGTCCCAGACCCAACTCACCCAGCTGGAGCTGTTCGCAAGTCCGGTTTGGATTCTTTCCGATCCTGCATCTGTAAATCGCCCCGGGTTTGACCACAGAAGAATTGGCAAGCCAGTTGGCAGTGGGCGCCCCCACGACGAGCCTAAAGTGAGAACCGTGCACGTGCGCTGAGACATGAGCGGGGCTACCTACTCAACTCGGGCTTTCAGCAGCGGTGCAGTGTGTAGTGGGGCAGTTTCCCCGCCTCCTCCGCCCACCACCCAGCGCAAGGGGCCAGACACCCCAAGACCCCGCGGCTTCAGGGCCTGGAACCACAACGCCACCCCGGGCGCTGCCACCCCAAGATAAGTTTTCCCGGGCAGATCTCCAGCAAGCTGGCGGGAGCCGCGCTGGCTTCTTGCCTCCTCCAGAAGGGAGGAAAGTTTGAACTGGGGAACTGGACAGACTCTCCCGGGGTGCCCCTTCCTCTTGCCACTCTTAGATGCTGAGGGCGCTGGAATCCTTCCTACTCCACTCACCAGCGGTTCGCCCCGTGACTGTGCAGCACCACTGAGTAACCGAACAGCGTGCCGGGGGGGCCCTGGTAAAGCAGGGCGCTCTCAGTGTCCACGTTGTAGGGGTGGCCAGTCCGGACCCCCAGGCACAGCAGTAGCATCACCGCTTCCCCGACGGCGGCCCCTCGGGGACCGGGTCCGCGCCTCGCTTCCGCAGCCATGCGCTCTCGGTGGGGAACATTCAACACCAAACGGCCACTTCACCGAAGTTGCACTGGATGCGACGGTTGGCCTAGGCGAAGAGCGCCCCAAGAGATGAAGCACAGCGTGTCCGGCGCCGGCAGGCGAGAGGGAAGGAGGGACAGCCACACAGACGGAGGGAGAGGGAGTTTGCCAGCCACAGGTCCCGATCGAGGGCGGCCTGGGATGCCGCGCGCCCTCCGGGCCCCACGCCCGGTTTCTGAGGCCTGGAGGTGCGGGTGCTTGAGCGGTCCTGGGGCGCAGGCCTCTGGGTGGGGTCCTGGGCGTGGTGTGGAGGCGCAGGATCTGGCTCTGTCTCCCCCCACGTGCAGCTGTAGGGGGCGCTGGGGGACCTTGGCTACGCAGGACGCGCGTCCTGGCCCGGGCCTTCCAGCCCACAAAGCGCGGGATGGCCGGGGGCCTCCTGAGGCTTTGCAAAGAGGGACCTGGAGGTGACACAGGGCTTCTCAATTTAACAGTGGTTGGGACCTGCGTGCGGCACCATGTGGCTCCGACCGGTGCACGCCCCTATTGTGAACTCTCAGCCTCCGCGGCCAGCCTCAAACCCGGAGCCTGAGACTACAACCGGGAACCCGCAGGCAGATCTTTCTTTGATAGTTCAGTGCTGGATCGCCACCCCATCCCCCCACCACCACCCCGAGAAATTACCCAATGGGCTATCAATTCAAAGCAAAATAATAACAAAAAAGAACTCCCTGAGGGGGACTGGGGAACTCTATGGCGACAAAGACGTTATGGCTTGTCTCTTCAAAACTCACAGCCCTGCACCCTTTGATGCCCACTTCCTTCCTCCCCACACTTCCTCTTAAGCCCGGTTTGCGTGAGCAGGCGAAGCAGCAGCTTCAATCTAAACAGCAGCAGCAACTCGTGCCGTTGCTGACCCCAATTGAGAGGCTGGGTTGAGGAACCGCTGTGAATAGCCTCACTTTAACAGATTCCACCCCCTGCTTCTCCATGATCTCTTCACAACCATACAGTTGCCAAGAAACACACAAGCCATTAGGGGTGTAGACCTAGTGTGAGGTCAAGGTCATAATGAACCTCCGAGATTCCGCTGTAGACCCACAAAACAACACACCTGTACGGGATGAGAATTCTCATCCTAACGCAATCCAGATGTGCCTTGAGTTGCCTGCCTGACCAACCAGAGACAGACATAGGTGGTTACTTAGGCTGATATTTGCAGGAGAGGCAGGTCCCGTCATTCACTGTTGCTACATGAAAAAAAAAAAAAAAGCAAATGAAGAAAGAAAAGACTTCGTCAAAGGGTTTGTCCGCAAGTAAAACTATACTGAAATAGCACATCTTAAGTTGTGATGGCAGACACACAAGTAAAGCACTTGCTGGCTGATTCAGTATATTTCATTGGACACTTTGCTGGACCCTCAGGATTCCCACATGAACAGGGTAGGACTTTCTTTCCTGTTTCCTTTAAGATTTTCAGTCAAACATAGGCAGACTTTTATTAGCCAGAGAAAATTCAGATGTGTTAAGGACGCTTGTAGAGAGAGTTGAAGGACAAAGAGGCTTGAGTCAGGTTTTGTTAGGAGGAAAGGGAGGGCTCCAGTCTGTCCAGGCAGAGTAACTAAGGAGAGTTTGCTGCTGGGGCATTTAGCTGCCCCCACACAAGTTTAGTTCTGTGAGACTGACTAGGATTCAGGTACACTTGTTGAACTCCAGAAGGCAGGTTAGGAACTTTAACCTCTGTGGTGGAGCTGAGAGGAAGCTGTGGAAGGATTTGTCTTAGTCAGCTTTGAATTTCAGACATTTGAAAGCAAAACTGAATATGAGGCCCACTTGGACAATTTAAGGAGATCCTGTCTACAAATTAAAAACAACAGCAGCAATTACAAAAAGGCTGGGTGTGCAGCATGATGGTAGAGCACTTGCTTAACATGCTTGATTTTGAAGACTTCTAGAGCAATAAATGAGGGCGGTGGTGGCTTGAACTGAAGTAGCTGGAAGGAAAGAGGAGGAAAAACAGATTCAAGAGGTATCTTGAATCAATAGAACTTGGTAGCACCATTGATTTATGAGAGAAATCAATAGAACTTGGTAGTACCATTGATTAATGAGTGTGAGGTTGAGATGAAGAAGTCAGGAAGAAGCCAAAGATTTGGATTTGGAAATTAAGTGTGTGGTGCTACCATTCAAGAAGAAAAAAAACATTGGAAAAAAAACCCCTCAAGATGTGTTTGCATACACACTATTGGGGGGCATTGTTGGATTCAACTTTAGATATGCAGAGTTTGAGATGTTTGTGAATTATTAGGATATTCTGGCCTGACCCAATCCAATTATTTTTACTCTTAAAAAAACACAAGAGGAATATTAACTTTCTCTTATTATTTGCAACAAAGGAAAGGCTAATAATGGTATGTGGTGAATCTACTATTAAAATGAAGTGGCTTCCAGAAAGCCACTGGTCCTGCTCTCTTTGTGCAGTAATACAGTGTGCTTTGTTTTATTTCTGAGTAAACTTACTTGCTGATTTCAACCCAGTACTATATCTAGGTAACATTGTCATTATTCTGTATTATGTAAGTTTTTATTTTGTCACAAAACCTGCAGTTGAGGCTTTGGAAATAAGGATATTGAAACCACTCCCACACCCTCCAAACACCAGTAAAGCCAAAGATGCAGGTCTGAACTCCCACCTCTTTTTTTCTCCTGCTTCACCAAAATCTTAAGCAATAAAATTACTCAACACAATTCTTTGCATAACAGAGTTAGCATGAGAAGGGGCCAGCAAAGTGATTGATAGGAAAGACCCTTATTTCTCTGGTTATGGTTTTGATTCACTACCTTTCTAGAAATAGCCATTATTTTACTCATCATATCAGCTCCAAGTTTTCTTACCCCAGGGTGTGAAAATCAGATGGAGGAGGGGGTAGTAGAGGGAGAGGAAGAGGAAGACTTTTTGAAATGATTTATGCCAACCCTTCACTGTCAATCATACTTATTCAGTCATTCAATTCATGTATAATATTTGATGGATATGTACTAAGTGCCCACTGTGTGCTAGCAGTTGCATTAAGAACTCAAATGTAGTAGATAAAATGCAAATGTGAATCCCTTGTAGGGATCCAGTAGAGACAATTCTGCCATGGACTTGCCCAACTTTTCAGTTACCACAAATGAGCATTTCTCTTCTTTAAAAGAAATAAAACCTTTTTAAAGCTTTTACTCACTTTCCTTTTGGCTACTCAGAATTTCCTATGCTGGATTCTTTCCTTCCACCAAAAGTGCTAGAAAGCTTCAGGGCTGAACTCTGGGCTTTCCTTCCTTTCCTATTCATGCTCCCTCTTTAGGAGTTTTAACCTTTTCCCTCTGTTTTTAACTGCTGTCTAAATATCATGAGTCCTCAGTTCAATCTCCAGCCTGGACCTTTCTTCTGAGCTTCAGGTTTATATGTCCTATAGCTTACTTGACATCCCTACTGAGTTACCTAGTGGGTATTGTGCATGTAACCTAACTGAAGCTGATTTTTGGAGCTCTCATCCCAACCTAAACTGTCCTTCCACATAATCTCTTCCCTTAGAGAAAACAACCCTCTATCTGCCTAATCATTCAGGTCAGATATTTGGGAAGTTATCCTTGATTTCTCTCCCTATTCCCAACATTTCACCCATCAATCACTGAGTCTTACTAATTTGACCAGCAAAATATATCTCAAATCCCTTCCCCTTCTTCCTCCTCCTCTTCTTTTTCCTTTCTTCCTCTCCTCCTCCTCCTTCTCCTCCTTTCTTTTCTGTAACACTCCCACTTCTGAGGCAGTATTTGCAGACTTGGTCACCACCCTCCAAAAGCACCCCTTCAGCACTGCGACTAACCCTTCCCCCAGATGCTATATTCTCACCTGAGCTCTTAAAAGATTTGCAATTTGGTCTCCCTTTACCTCTCCCTCATCTCAGCAGTGTTCTACATAAAAGTGAACAGTGAACTTTAAAAATTGTGCACCCAGTCTCTTGCTTAGATACTTGAGTTACCCACTGCTCTTACAGTATAGACCACACTTAGCATGGCCTAAAAGGATCCTATGATATGGACTCTGATTACTTCACCAGCCTTACTAGTGGCCACCCCTCTCTGGATCCTTTTGCTTTGCCACATCTGCCTTTCTTAATTTATGTAAGTGGATTAAGGTCTTTTCATCTTCCAGATCTTTGCCCTTATTAATCTTTCCACCTAGACACATTGCCTCTTGACTTTTGAGGTTTCCTCCTCTTCCTTCCAAATCATCTTGAAGTTCCCCTTCCGCCTAAAGAGGGTTTTATGCCCATCCAATTTAAAATAGGTCAACAAATGACAATTCTGTTCATTTTCTTCAGGAAACTTACATTTACAATCACACACACACACACACACACACACACACACACACACATTTCTCTCTTCCTTTGGTTTTTTCATCATGCCTTCCTCACTAGAATATGAGAGGAAACATGAATTGAGTTGTTAGGTTGTTTTTCACCATATCCTTGTCACTTAATATGCTGCCAGGAAAATAGCAGGTACTTGGTTTTTTGTTTTGTTTTGTTTTATTTTGTTTTTTGAATGTCCATTACATGGTTTAAACTTTTCATATCACCCAGTGGCATAAATAAAGGGAAATACGGATATTTATAGATTTGTGCTCATTCATTGTTACATACAAAACAGTGTGGTAGGTCCTTTGGTAGATGTAAAAATATGTAAAAAGTAGTTTCTAATCTCAAACAGATTATGATATAAAAGGAAGATATATGTCTCGGAACAATAGCACATGGTCAAACATGAATGTCACGGACCGTGGGCAGAACAGATACAGGTGACTGCTGACAAATGATGTAGGCATGAAGAACAGTTCCAAGGGCTAAACTGAGGGAGAGTGTAGAGCAGGAAAATAAAAGATCTGATATACACAATGGAAAGACAAACCCTGTCATTATGTCGGGTATAGGTGATATGGAGAAGTTAAACATGACTGACATTTTTAGGCCAGGTGCCTGGGACAATGTTGTTACCATGAAACAAAACAAAACCCAGATCAACAGGAAACAAAAACAAAATAACCAAAAGGAAGACTTGGAATAGAAGAAAGTGCAGGATAGAGGACTGGAAAGTGTGCTTGGGTAATGCTAACTGGGTTCTAGAAATGTCTGAGATACTGGTGGAACATTCATGTAGATATCTAGCAAGTAATGTTTTTAGCTTTTTCTTTATTATTTATCTTTAAATTACTATGGAAAGCAATTAGAGATTCACAAAAATTTATTATTTTTCTCTGCCTTCCTCTAATCCAACCTTTAAAGGCATGATAAGCTATCTGATCTAAGTCTTATCTTAAGGTCTGCTCTTAGAGAATCCAAACTAGAACAATAGGAGATCCCATTGCTCAGTAATAAAGTTCC